GTTGTGATCCCCTAGTTAGCTTGCCAACACACTATCAAATCAGCATGTTAGAGGACATTCTTCTGAAACATATGATGCAGGCAGGATATAGCACAAAGCTTTCTGCGGTTCTAATAGAGAAATGAAAGAAAAATCAATGAGAATAGACTTACCGTTCCAACTTTAACAAGACTGGGAACTCCAGTAAGTTTCAGATTTTTCTTAAAATCATTATTTGGATCCTTCCAGCTGTGTAAAAGAAACAGGAAATTAGATATTAATAGTAATATGGACAAAGATTTACAACATGAAACCACCATGACAAATTAGATCTGTACACATTGGTGGTAAAATCTTCTTTTAAAGAACCTCTTTATGGAGAAAGTATGTAGGCTGCTACTGCTGAAGCCTGGTTTAAAACATGCTAGTTGCCTGGCTGTAACTGATAGAGTCTTCAATATTTTATAAGTCATTGATCAGGAATGAGTATGCAGGTAATGAGTTCTGACTTTACACTGAAAACATTGATCTGCATGCATGTTCCCGGCTTAAAGCATTTAATTAAGCCAGACAAAGTCATGCAAATGGAATCTTCTGATGGACCCTCCCCATGATACCCTTCTACTTTTCTCAGTACAGGTTTCCTTTAAAGCCCATTTCCAGACAAACCAATTACCAGTACCCTTGCAGTGAGGCTACCTTCAAATTGCAAGGATTAAGTGTTTGTTGCCTATGGGCTGGAGTAAGGTAGATTTACTTACCTGAACTCCACTCCTGCTGTCTCCCTCTGTGCTGCTAGACTGGACCCCGCAGACTTTTCTCCCTTGGCTCCGACGATCTAAGGACCACTAACATCATCAGTCTAATGAAGGTTCCATAGATCTGCATTAGACGTGAAGACTCGGAGAGACATTATACCAGCTGGAGCAGAGGAGGAGAGAGCTGACTGCCAAGGCAGCGGAGTTCAGGTAAGTAAATCTTTTCTCCGGCTCCATAGACAACAATGAACACTTAACCTTGCAGTGAGGGAATAGACCCACTGCAAGGGTACTTTTTGTTTGCTCAGAGAGTGGCTTTAAAAAATTGAACATAGGGCCCAAAAAGTGGTTTCACTCTGGATTACTGCACAGCTATGGAATAAATAAAGGACACTTAAGATTCAAGTAGGAATAGACATGCCTCTAATTGTTTAGCCCAGATTTCAGCTTTAAGTATGATTTTATTAGAACAGAGAACAAGCACTGTACATCTTGGCTCATATTAGTTTTCCTCAGGAATAGACATGACCCTTTGGTGCAATAAAGTGCCCAGATTTGTTCAAACACAAGATGGCTATGAAATGATAACCATGTCTAGTGGAAGTCTTCAAACATGGACACTGGCCTGAATAAGACCTTGGTGACTAAATGGACCTGCTGAAATGATGGCCATTGTCATGGTCTAGATAGTGCCATCAGGTTGACCCTGTTCGGTAGGTCATCTTCCTGACCTCCAGGATCCTACATGTCCATCAACACTTTAAAGTTTATGACAACTTTGCTGACACATAAAATAAATAAATCATGCCCAATGTGTGGGGATGCTGCTGCGTTATGTAAAACTCTTAAGTTTCCTTAATTCCATCACTAGTGTAAACACCCAACTTCAGGCACTGAAACATACAGCTTCGGTTCTCATACAGTGAAGGTTAGCAGGTCACTTGCACTCCACCTCATCCATTGACATGTTTTGTATTATTTTCACAAAATACAAGGAGTTCTGTCAATGAACAAAAGGGGGGCCAATGTACAAGTTCAATTTTAGACAGGAGGAGGCGGTGACGTTGGCGGCAGCAGTGAAAGAAGAAAGTATATGGAAATGGTAGCATTTATTAAACATTGACATTTACTGCATGCTCCCTAGCACCCATCATACAGGAGGTCTATTGTGGAGTACAAAGTCACCCAAGGAAGTCACACAACCTTTAGCAATGTCTTGTACTGACACAGCAGTACTTGTTCAACAGCTTCCCTAAGTGCTCACCCTCCTAGAGGAGTGACAAAAGTAGCCATTTTCATGCAGCTCTGCATTTGCATTCACCTCTTCTCTGTATGTTGCATTAAAGGCTAAGCTTACCTCTTCTACCATGTTTCACATTCAGGGCTTGTTCACACCAAGCGCGTTCCAGGAGCAGAGCAGTTACAGACCGGATCAAAACTGCGTCCAATGTATTCCAATGGTATTCTGGGCTCTAGTTCACACCGCAGCGTTCAGTTCTAGAGCATGTAAAAAACAAAAACGGCCCGGAACGCATCAAAAACGCAGCAAAAAATGCGGTATAACACACTGCACTGCGTGTGCAGAAGCTCATGCAAATCTGGTCTGCATTTGGTGTGAACAAGCCCTTAGGGTAGAACATAAAACATGGTGACATCGCCACCCCCTCCCAACTTTTCTTTCACTGTATATGTGAATGAAGAAACTACATGTCTCACCAGTCATCACGGCAGAGGGACTTGTAGTTCATAATGTAATACAAGTTGGGTGATGTCATCGCACTTGTAGTCCACTGACACTTCCCTTCCCTGTACTGAATGTCTGTAAATCGGTACAAACAGAGGCTGCTGGAAGAGCCTGCAGGAGCCAGAGCATTGCACTTGTGATCCACTGAATGTGGTTGAAACGCTTTACTGGCTCAAATGGACAAGAAATAATAACTTCACAATTTTTTCTTTTATGAAGGCGCGAGCATTTATTTATTTATTAAAAAGGTGGACTTTGCCTTTAAAAACATGATTAAAAAAATCCTGTTAGACTTACTATGTTCTCTCTCCAACCAGGCAGTAGATGAAGACCGAGCTTTCTGGGAGGTATTTCATTTCCCCTCGGATGACTGGTTCAGCTAGAGCAATAGAAATAACATGTACACAGGATAAGCATATTCTAATAATATTTCTTTTATTTATGTAACGCCAACATATTCTGCACCACTTTACAATAGGGACCATATGTGATGAGCATTGCTAATGAGGCAGAAAATAAATGGAGAAAGAAGAAGAGGGGAGTCTGAAGGCTGGATTTATATTGTTGCATGTGCAATGCAACATACGTGGTACTGCACACACGTAATGGACAGTAAGTAGGGAAATGTTTCCTTCCCTCTTGTTCTCTCTGAGACCTGTGAAATAGACAGGAAGTGAGGACACAGACCACAATAAAACCCTGACAGCGGTTCCAACCCTTCCCTGGTCTATCCAACACTAAGTGTTAAAAGAAAAAGTTCAGGTTTGAGTTGGCCTACTGTCCCTCCGATCATGGTGGTGTGGTGTTCTATTTTAAAAGAAGAACTCCAAGCAATTTGTTTATTAACCCTTGTAATGGGGCTACGCCGACACTCCAAGGGCTAACTGCTCGTTTTGGTCTAGGGAGGAAAATAACAAAAATGTACTCACCTGAGGTTGGAAGGACAAGAAGGTTTTAAAACAAGCCGGTTCGGAGGATCTGGTGAGTATAACTTTTTTATTTTCCTTCCTAAACCAGAACGAGCAGTTAACCCTTGCAGTGCAGTAGTAAACCTACTGCAAGGGATATTTTTTTTAAATGTGTCCCGGAGTTCTTCTTTAAGGGCCCATTCACACCACATCCAGATCATCTCCAGACCAGACCAGATGGTTTCTGGACACAAAATGTATCCCAATGTATCGCTATGCTATTTCTGGCCTCTGTTCACACCAGTGCAGTCCGTTCCAGACCAGACCAGAAAAATACTGCAGGTCTCATTTTGTCTGGTCTGGAATGCACTGGAACGCATAAAAAAATGCAGCACAAACACATGGAACGCACTGGAGAGCCCATTTTAAGCTAAAAAAAGGAAAACAGCTCCGGAACGCTGTAAGATTGCGGCAAAAACACGGTGCACTGCATTCCAGATTTGGTTTAGATATGGTCCTGGAAATGGTGTGAACCCAGCCTAAAGGTGCTGTTGTGCTTATTAACCAGCTGTGACCAAGGCAGTTTAAGGGCCGGTTCACACCACAAAGTCTGCGTTCCAGCGCGTTCGGCCTCTGGAACGCACACCGGCCGGCTCCCTGCGTTCAGGGGCAGGAGGGGGCGTGGCGGTGCACTGAAGCCAATGGCACCACAGCCACGCTCCCTGCCTGCAGTGCGGTCGCCCGCAACGCAGGCACATTAGTGCCTGCGTTCTGGTCCAGTGCGATCTTCAAAAATGGTGTTTGCAGTATTTTTGCAGATCGCACTGGATTGGAATGCAGGCAGTAATGTGCCTGTGTTCCGGGTGCAGGCGATCGCACTGCGGGCAGGGGACGTGGCTGTGGTGCCATTTACTGGATTACACTGCCACGCCCCCACCCCTGAACGCAGGGAGCCGGCCTGCATTCCAGAGGCCAAACACACTGGAATGTGGACTTTTTGGTGTGAACTGGCCCTAGGGCAGAAATCTGTGATTGCACATATGCTTGCTGAATATGGGATGCTGGAGTGCTGATGCTAATTTCTATTTCTCATATATAGAATTAACTTTAAACTTTAACAAGATCCCCGTTCACACATGTAAGAGATTCGTCACCTGACAAGAGGATTCCCACTAGTTTCTATGGGGCCCGTTCACACCTTCCGCAGCCATGAGACTTGGAAAAAGGTGTAGGTGCTTCTTTTGGTGCTACAGTGCCTTTCTGGCCCTATAGACATTAATGGGAGCACATCAAAAATGCATGCAGATGTGTTTTAGCACATGTTGGTGTATTTTTGCACATAACCAGTCTCCTCCCCCTTGCTACATCTACTCTAGCCAGGCCGCAAAGGAAGATGGAGCGTGTGAGCAAGCCACACAAGCTTGATGCCAAATAACTGATCCAGCTAATAAGAGGAAAGACATTACTGTACGGTCCCAGCGAAAACAATTACAAGGATCCCTGGAAGCACCAGAGGGCCTGGTAGGGACAATACTCAAAAATGACTCAAGATTGCTCAGAAAACTCAACTACAGGACACAACACAGAACAAGCTGCAAGCAGATACAAGGAAGATGACGCCTAATGATGTCACAGCAGATATTGCTGGTCATTGGCTAAAACAAAAAAACCGCATGAAGCTTATAAAACGTCAAAAATGCATTACAAAAACACATGAATATTCAGACGCACAATTGTGAAAGAAGACTAAGGTCTCGTTCTGTCGCGCGTTTTTTACCGCGATTCGCGGTAAAAAAGTCGTGCGACCGTCGCGCGTTTCCGAAGGCTACTTGGCTGTATCTCAATGGAAACGCGCAACAAAAGGGCCCAAAGTAGTACCTGTACCTTTTCAGGCGTGGGCCGTTTTGTAGCGCGCTAGGGACGGGCGGAAATATGCCAAGGTGGGAACGAGACCATTGAATACAATGGGATTTATATTTTTTGAGCGTTTTGTAGAGCGTTTGTAGAGCGTTTGTCGAGCGTAGAACGCGCTACAAAACGTTCAGGTGTGAACGAGGGCTAAAAGCAATTGTGTTCACTCAAAAAACAGATGTGCTTTAGCAGGACGAGCAACTATAATGACTAATCTGGCTGATCTCTGCCGGAATAATTTATGGAACTTTGATACATTCTTCACAAGAAAAAGAGCAATGTCTGAAGTTTATTATGTGGATTACGTACTACCAATGTCGCTGAAATGTCGAAAGATAAAACAGTAGAAGACTTTGCTTAGAACCGTAAAGCTGGACTGCTCATGCAATAACAGCAGTATTGTGGCAAGCCTAAAACCCATTGGCCCTTTAAGGGGTGCTGAAAAATGTTAGGTGGACGCCGTCTTTCCGATTATGTAATCGCTGTGATTTGCCGTTACATGGTTGGGAGCTCATCTCACCAGCTCCTGATCATAAACAGGGACTGGGAGCGGTCGGTGTCAGAGTGAACCCCCTCTTAGCACAGTATAGCAGCCCAGCTGGACACATATATGGGTACTTCCAGTATTAAAGCCCATCCTTCGTACTGATGTACATGTGTGTGTTATGCTGACGAAAGTGGTTAAAACCCCTGCAACCAGTCTCAAAGCATCATTTAGAAACACTGGGAAAATGCCAGCTGGATATGCTTGGCTGTAAAGAAACTTATCTCCACTTTGAACTTTGAAGCTGAACTCTGGGTTCTCTAGGACATCTCTATAAAAGTGCTTTCATACCTTCAAAACATTTCTGCTTGCTTGCAGTCACAGGTTTCAAGGCACAGAGAAACCAAGACTTCTGATCCTCATTAAAAAGGAATCTGTCCCCTTAACCTCTTAAGGCCGATCTCCGTGTCGACGCTTTAGTGTGAGTGAACGGGTCTGACGCGCCCACTGTAACAGCAGTGTTTGACTGACAGGCTAGGAGACTCCTGAGTTGTCCTATCATCTGTAACCTCAAACTTTGATTGGCTGGCCGGCCAGGAGACTCCTGGTCCGTCTTACCTCCCAAGACTTCATACTTAAGCTGCCCATACACCTTGCGATCATCGGACGACACTTTTCATTTGATAATCGAACCGTCATACGATTTTCGTACGACGGCCCTTTTCTGCCCCGATTATCGCAAGGTTGGATCAGCGGTAATTAAAAGAAAGCACCTGGACGAATTGCGGTAATCGACCGCACTTATTTTCGTCTGCGCATGTGCAGTGTAAAAAAAAAATCGTACGAATTTTGACGTACGGAAACGCCACCAACCTTGAAATTATCGTGTGATCGACCGAAGTTTTCTAACCTGGTGGTTAGTCAAAAGTTAATCGATACAGTATTTGCGGTTGTACACTGCCCATTAACCTTACGAATATCGGACGAAAACGCGATCGCATACGAAAATCGGCCGATATTCGTAAGGTGTATGGGCACCTTAAGACATGCCAGGAGACTCCTGGTCTGCCTTACCTCCCAAGACCTCATACTTAGACATGCCAGGAGACTCCTGGTCTGTCCCATCATCCATGACCTCACACTTTTACTGACATGCCAGGAGACTTGTGGTCTGTCCTAATTCCCATAAACTCATACTTTGACAGGCCAGAAGACTCCAGGTCCCATGACCGCATACATAGACAGACAGGTCAGGAGACTCCTGTTCTGTCCTACCTCCATGATGCCATGCTTAGACGGACAGGCCAGGAAACTCCTAGTCTGTTCAACCAACCATTCATGACCTCAAAGTTTGACTGACAGGCCAGGAGACTCCGGGCCTATCCTCCAATACACAACCTCACTACAATGTCTGCCCTAACACAGGGCTAAAGATGAAGAAGCTTTATAGCTGGACTACAGCTTTTAAGCGGAAGTAAAGTTAGTAAAATAAAATAAAAATGGTGGGAGGTAGGGATTTTTTTTTACCAATAAATTTTTATTAAGGAGCAGGTCATTCATACATGGCATAAACAGTGCAAGTGGGAACATATGCTTTCATTTACCGGTACATGACACTGAAGAAGTACAATACAGGTAAGTAACTGATTTCTATACATATGTATATCCAGTACCTTTCCAGTAACATGACAATTTCAATATTTCAGATATCTATGGATCATAAATGTAGACAGTAGGAGGGGGGGGACACTATTATGCTGCAGAGTTTAATTGTAAATGTATGCTTTGCACTGTATGAGCAGTATATACTCTATATGTACTACATATAGAGTACATATAGAGTACACACTGCTCATACAGTGCAGACAATACATTTACAATTAAACTCTGTACAACATGTACTACGGATCATTTAACCCATTCATATTAGCAGAGGATAATTGTAAATCTATTGTTGCAGTGCATGCTATATGTCGTATATAGTACTTGTACATATAGAGTGCCTGCAACAATACATTTACAATTATACTCTGCTAACATGAATGGATTTAACTATATTTTTGTACATGAATAGATGTGGATTGTTGTACATTAACAAAAAATATGACCTACCCCGAAAATAAGACCCAGTGTCTTATTTTCGGGGAAACACGGTAATTTCAGAGAGGTGACTTCACTGGCTACTGCGCCCCCCGCCCCTCATTTACACACGCTAAAGCTAAAAAAAAATAGCTTTTCTAATTTTTCGGCAAAGTTTGGCCTGCGTTTGGGTTGGGCCTGCCAGGGCCGCGTGCAAATCTCACAGGGTTGCGTGTGAGTAGCTGTCTTTTCCTGTGCCTGTCTTTGTGGGCGCCGTAAAGAAGGAGGAGATGTGGGGCCAGAGAGGCACTGTCAAAGATAACTACCCGAGGTCCCCATCAGGCTGCCTGAGGTCCCCAGCAAGTACAGGAACTCATGCATTGGGACATCGCTAACGGAAAGGTTTAATCTGTTAGACTTACGGTATATAGAGCAAAGTACCTTTCCGGGATACAATGTTTCACTTGCGGGCATCAGGAAGACGCTATCTAATAGCAGGAGACTCGCGGAACATCCAGTAGAGTTGAGCTCTCTGTACGCTGTACATACCATACTTGCACATTAGGGCAAAAAGACATTTTCAAAACAGTTAATTTCCACTTGAAGGATGACTTATATTCCACTGTTCAGCATTAAATGATCTTACATGGTATGACACATAATAAGGTCCAGTCACACTTGGGTCTCAGCATGTTGGCGGTCCCCAATTTCCAGGGCATCCAGATTTTAAAACTTAGACCCTGAAAATGTTTGTGCATGGATTTCAGGAATGAAGACTATCACAAACCTCCCCCCCCTGCTTTTTGGAATCACATTCAATGCAACTCTTCATGTTGTTCATAAATAAAGGAGATGCTCTCCAGGGTACTGTACCTTTAACACAGTCCGGGCACCAGCTCACCCCATCCTCATTCTTATCCCCACAGAACAGCGCGAACACTGTCTTCCCATGGTGCTTCTTCACCTCCTTACAGTACTGCTCATAGCCGTATACCTTCACCTCTGTGCAGTCTGCCATGGCAGGGAACTGGGAGCAATGAGAGGATAGCTGATCTGTCCTTATTCAGCACATGCTCAGCGGAAGGTGTCTTCCTGACTTCTGAAATGGGCAGTGCCATCAGTGTACATATGCAAATATGTTTTCATTATAGCAAGGGGAACTAACATCAAATAAAAAGGTTTGTTTATTGATTTTTAGGACTATAACCAGTATAACACGTGTCTATTTATTATATATTTGAATGACTATATAATTTTGAATGAATGAAGCGTAGGCAGCCATCTTTAGTTAGGTACACTACGGTAAAGCGCAGAGGACAATCTTTTATTAGGAACGCTACACAGACGGTCATCTTTACTAAGGCACATTATGGTGAAGAGCAAGACGGCCATTTTTGCTAAGGTACACAATTGTAAATCGCGGATGGCCATCCTTTGGTACAAAATAAGTGAAGCGCAGACGGCCATCTTTAGTCAGGTACACAAGTTTGAAGCGCAGACAGTGTCTTCTGAGATACATGCACAAAGGTGGCGCACCAGCGGCCATCTTTATTTAGGCTTGTAATGGCGGATGTATAGTTGTTCTGTGTATTATACGTAAACAAAACACCGGTGTTTCTTTTTCCGTTATGTAAAACAAAGAAAGTCAGAATATCTGTGTTCTCTATCCTATAAGGAATCAATAACGTTTCAATTAACGATCCCGCTTTTTCACTAATATTCCCGCCACACAAGAATTCCCGAATAGGTTTGGTCTATTCGTGTACCCGTAGCGGCTCTCAGTTGTCATGGCGCCGAGTTTAACTGTTGTCTAAGGAGTGGATAGGAAGGAAGGTGACAATCAGCGACACAGGTAATAGGTTCGGATACACAGAGCTCTTTATTCCGCTGCACTGATTAGAGTAAGGGATTCCGCTGGTGTGGAGGTGGCGGGGTCTTTCACACAGCAGATGGGGGCGATGGACTTCTGAATGACATGATGTGGCAGAGGAGGGAGAATAGGACTCTATCCACAGCTCCAATTGTCTGTCATAAGGAACCAAATCCCTCTGTCCTCCTCAGTTGTCTCTTTTTTGCAGATTTGATGTGTGTAAATCTGCAAAAAATCATGTTTAGGCCTCATTCACAACTATATTTTAAGTGACATTAAGGATGCCTGCGTCAGGAATTTACGATTTCCCGCAGCGAGAATCCCTAATCTGCTGCTGTCCAGATGCAAAAATCCCTAATTGCATCTATAGATATGAGTTCTTAAGGCTGCATTCATACAGGGCGCGATTAAATATGTTTATATGCATTTAAAAAGCGTTTCTAAACATCTTATGATTTCCAACGGATCTATTCACACCTTGCTTTTAGATGCTTTTATCTGCAGTCAGTTTATGTGTTTAGAAAAAAATAGAATTCAGGTGCTTCCAGGAATCTATTTTAACTTCTATGCTTGTAAATAAAATTTTATGCTAGGATTTGGTACCAGATGCATTTAAATGCATGTAAATGTGTGTAATTTAACACAGCATCTAGCATGACAGATTTTCCTCTGCACGTAGAGGACAAAACAACAAGTGGCAAGTGTGAATGAAGCTGTAAAGTGACAGTGGCCTGAACTGACTTCATTAAAGACAAGGATTTTTGCCTTGCCTATGTGTTGGGACTGCAGTGGGCAAGGCTGCCAGTGCATCCCCTACGCGTCTGGTGTGAACGAGCCAGTGAACTACCAGAAGTGTTATAATACACTTAGGGCTGCCCCTATAATGATGCAGCCTGAGTTGGGTGCCTCAGCGGACATCTCAGTGGGGGGCAGCCACTGAGCTCTTGGCAACACGTGACACTCTCTGCGGCTTCCCACCCCGCGTCCTACCAAGCTTCTAGCAACCAGTGACAAAAACCTTAGGGTAGGTAAGAAGTCTGTCCCTCTTCCACATCTCAGAAAGTTGGAAGTATGCTGCATCACCCTGACATTTTAATTTTTACTCTAGATCGTGGGGATGGCTCTGGACTCTCAGCCTGGACCTTCAGCTGTTCCCGGTGCTCAGCCCTGCCTGCCATTCAGAAACCATGGGAGAGGCACACAAGTGAGTGAACAAGTAATAGATTTGTATTATTACTAATGTGTTAGGCAGGACTGGACAAATCCCAGGAGTCAGGAATCCAATGCTCCTTAGAAATGACAGCAGGCCCTTAACTTTTTAGATTGTCTCTACATTAGTTATCAATGGAACTGGCTCCTAGAAGTAATCCTGCTAGCTCCTGAATTGGGCAAACTGCATCCTGAGTTCCATATTAAAGTGACACAAAATCAGTAGTTAAATCTTAAAAATGCATTCAAGTACCTGAACTAACTACCTTAACAAACATGTATCTTATTTGTGTATCACTCGGCTGCAGACCCTCAAATCATCTCTGACTGATGCTGAAACCGTCCTTCCTTCTGGAGGGTGGCTACTTTTGTTCCCCATGGTCCCTGTGTGTGTTGTAAAGTAGCCACTGCTCCAAGCTAACTCACATGATGGACTACAATCTCATGTTTAGTTTAGTAATTTATATTAAAATTGTAGTCCACCACGGAAGTGAGCTTGGAGTGGTGGTTACTCTACAACACACACAGTGATCATGGGGAACAAAAGTAACCACCCTCCAGAAGGAAGGACAGTGTCAGCAGGAATTCAGAGATGATTTGAGGATGTACAGCCGAGTGATCCACAGATAAAATACAATATTGTTAATAGTTAAGGTACTTGAATGCATTTTTAAGATTTAACTCCTGAGTTTAGTGTCACTTTTTAATATGTTCACCACTGGTGTAAGGCCTCAGTCACACAGGGATAATAGGTCTGGTAACGAACAGCTGCGGCCATTCAGGCTGTACAAAGCAATGACAGGCTGACAGCAGCCACGGCTGTGCACTGGTGTTCAGATGTAATTGCACATGGAGTGATTAATTGCAGAAAGGGACAAATGACCAACTTTGGACACAAGCTGTTTATGACCAGGGGCAATAATCTGTCCCATTCCATAGGTAATTGCTCTTCTCATTGAATTTATGTTTGATTACAATGCCAAGTGTGTCGAATTTTAATGTTCGATTTCGGGATACACAGAGGCGAGGTAATGTTTGTGTGTGCATGTGATGTTATTAGCTATACAGGTGCCAATTATTATATGTACATTCTAAAGTAGGGCACACACTGTACGAACTTTGGCCGGTTGCTGATTAACAAGACAAGATTCATGCAGTGGGTACCGTTGTTGGCACCCTTCCACCTAGCACTCCTCCATCAGCTGTTAGTTCTGCTTGGGCATTCTGATATATAAGTGTAGACAGTGTAAATATTTAAGAGCTATTTTCAACAGTGAGACACTTTCTACTGCTTTAATTGAATAAGGTATATCAATGTTATTCTGTTTAAGAAGGAGGGAGAGAAGAAAGATTATGAAGAGGGGTTGTTGGCCAGGGTTTTTTTGTTTTTTTTGGAGGTGTCAAGGAGTGGGCATTTAGATATGATTGTTTCCTAGCCTTTGTCGGCTATATCTGCAGATGTCTGCAGGCACCTTTATTCCCTGTTTAATATTCAGTAGATTGAAGCTATTTGTCAATTTATTTAATCATATAAAACTGTGAATAAAATATTTTCATGTTTACATGGGTAGGTTCTAACAAACAAATCTTTAGACTTCCCTGCTTGTATGTCTTCTCTGCCCAGGCTACTTGCTTCCTATTAAACAATGTGCATATTGGGCCAGTGAATAATACAAGTTCAGTTACAAGATAACATCTAAGTGTGTGTGTGTGGGGGAGTGTGATATATATATATATATATCAGCGAATGCGACACTCACTGCAGATGTATCTTCCTGGTGCACGTTACATTCACTGCTATATAAACATGCTCCCTAATAAAAATGCATTATATGTAATTAAAGCAGTTTAATATATTTTTCCATTTTCTTTACCTTCTTTATTCCCTTGGTTTTTTTTTCTCTTTTGAAGCTACGCTTTAATTTGGATGTTACTACTCATCCATCAAATCTGGCCACTCAGTTCTCAAACCCCCCTCCTATCATAATTGAGAAGATATCAGGTCTTCAGAATAAGTCTTTTGAGAATGTAGCATCTGATGACTTGCTACGTAATTCCGGCTCCTCAAAGTCTTTCTCTATTATATCAGAAGAACGCTTGAACCTTGCTGTCTGGCTTGCAAAGCGAGATTTAAAACAGAAGCGTTTACAGGAGAAATTCGAGGGAAAACTGAAATCTCGGCCATCCAAACAGCATTCTCCTCAATTCAGAAGAGGGGTGATCATCAGCAGTCCTGGGAAGGCTAATGCCAGGACCTTTGCCAAGGACAAGAAGCCCAACGGTTCAATTAAGCATGAAGTGACCAAGTCAGGTGCTGTAATATATGTGTATACACCAGACAGGAACAAGAGTAATGTAGGGGTGTCAGACTCACCGCCTACCCACGATCCGGGGCCTGGTACCAGCCCAAAAATTGAAGTGGAACAAAATGAACAAGAAGTAAGATGTCTGCAGAAGGAACTGCATTCTTGCATGAGGAAAATTGAAGAACTGGTTAAGAAAGGTAAAGTTTGAAGTAAGGCTGCAACTTACAATTATCTTCATAATAGATTAGTGGGCTGATTTTATTTTTTCGATGTGTGTGTGTTTTATTTTTTTAACTATTTTTTTTTTCTTTTTACTTTACTGTCAGGGGGATTTGGGGAAATATCGGGTCTAAACAGATCCCTGATATTTCCATTTTGAAATCGAAAAAGAGATTGAGGACACAGAGCCCTTCAATCTCTTTTTTTTTTTTTTTTTTTACAGCCCCAGCACTGAAAGAACAGGAAGAACTCGGCACAGAGGCTTCCTGTTCATTCGCAAACTGAGGAGGCTTAGTACACTTTCCAGTTATGAATGAAGCCTCTGCACTGAATGCCCCTCTCCGTTTTTAGAAACTGAGCATATAGTAAGTGATTACAATGTCCCCCAGTCATGAATGAACAGGAAGTGATGTGTAGCACTTCCTGTTCACTCATAACTGGGGAAATAGTGTCCTCAGTTTTTTTACAAACACCAAGTAATCAGCACTGATAACTCGGTGGTTGCTCAGTACACGGAAGGATCAGCAAATATTAGGGATGCACAGATACCAACGTCTCGTACTTGGTACAAGTACTGATACTTTTCCAGCTCAAAGACTGGACTAGAGAAAAACTAGGCAGCTGTCATTTTTAAGGATCATTGTCTATGGGGGTCCTGGGATTTGTGCATCCCTGTTTTATTGTGTGATTTTTTTTTTTTTTTATACAGTCATGGACAAAAATATTGGCACCCCTGCATTCACATAATGCATCACTTCGCACAGAAAATTGTTACAATTTCAAATGTTTAGGTATTCTCATGTTTTATTTATTTTCTTTGTATTGGTATGGCACAAAAAAAGTATGTACAAAATTATTGGCACTCTCAATTAATTCTTGGTAGCACAGCCCTTGGAAAAAATAACTGAAATCAATCGCTTCCTGTAACCATCAATGAGTTTCTTACACCTCCCTACAGGAATTTTGGAGCACTCTTCTTTTGCTACCTGCTCCTGGTCTCTCAGATTGGAAGGGTTCATTTTCCCAACTGCTGTTTTGAGATCTCTCCACAGGTGCTCTATGGGATTCAGATCTGGACTCATTGCTGACCTGTCCAGTACTCTCCAGCGCTTTGTCTGAAACCATTTCTGGTTGCTTTGTGACATGTGCTTTGGGTCATTGTCCTGCTGTAAGACCCATGACCTCTGCTGGAGACCCAACTTTCTGACACTGAGCCCTACATTGCACCCCAGAATTCTTTGGTAGTCGTCCGATTTCATAATGCCATGCACACAGTCCAGTGCCTGAAGCAGCAAAGCAACCCCAATACATATGTGAACCTCCACCATGTTTGACTGTAGGGACTGTATTTTTTTTCTTTAAATGGCTCATTTCTTTTTCTGAAAACAGTAGAATGATGGGCTGCACCAAAAAGCTCTTAATTTTGTGTCATACCAATACAAACAAAAGAAATAAACAGGAGAATGCCTAAACATTTGTAATTGCAAACATTTTCTGCGTGAAGTGGTGAATTATCTGGCAGAAATGCAGGGGTGCCAATATTTTTGGCCATGGCTGTATACACACACAGACACACACACACACACATATATAGACACACACACATATATAGACACACACACACACACACCTATTACTGATATATTTTTGTTTAGTGTCATGTGACAGTTTTTCTGAAACACTACAGACTAATGTTCAAAAGAGCTCCATAAACTCACCGCTCCATTCCAGCTCCGGCTGCAATCAGTCCATACCCTGTGTGCAGGCTGCAGTGCGCTCCTCACTTACGCAAACCAATCTCCAAAAGATCAGGTGCACAGAAACCAGGGTAAATGTAATCCAAAATGTATGAAACATGCTGCCTATCATTCTTTTGAATTTGCTGTTTTTTGGAATCTGCTTGGATTTATTTAATACATTTTGGATTACATTTACCCTGGTTTCCGAGCGGCTGATCTATTGGAGATTGACTACAGACTAATGATTTCAGGACAGTGGTGGGGCGCTAGGGCCCAGTCGCAGCTGCAACCACTGCGACCCTGGTAAATTCTGAAAATGCTGAAAAGTATCGGCACTGGTATCTGTGCATCCCTAGCAAATATCCCACTTATTTGCTGATCCTCCGCTCGGCATCCTGAACTTCTCAGCTCTACACTCCATCCTGAGAGCTGTTCTCTCCTCCCCTCTCAGCATCCAAGCAGTCTGTGTCCCCTCAAGATCCCAACAGGGAGGATAGAGCAGCAGCGGGCGGAGGCTTCCAACCTGGGCCCCTCTGCTTACCCAACGGTGCCCCTAAAAGTTTGCCACCCGGGGCAACCGCCCCCGTGACCCACGCCCTTGCGTCTAGTGCAGATCAATGAATTGATAATGAGAATCGTTGACAATTATTCTCATTATCAATTATTCAATTTGTTGATAGTGTGTGTGTGTGTTCAGATCTCATATATCACAACATATATTTTATGTGTGGTAACTCAGGACAATGGTTCACATATAATTTGTGCTTTAGAAAGTTATAGAGAGACTTTGGATCCTACAGAAGAAGCCAGGGGCCGAATACGCCAGCAGGAACGAGCAGCCAGATCTGCTAGAATGCTTTATGATTTACAGCATCAGGTAAGAATTATCAGTCAATTATCGGCATCTGTTAATTACCTCCATAACACCTGTATTGTAAAATAAATAAATGGGGAGGTGGATGTGCGTTTCTGGGGTGCAGTGTTTAAACGGCGCTGCAGAAAACACACAGGGGCCGGTTAATGGCTGTGGTCTGAGCTGTGATCATTTGACAGCTCACATCACAGCCTTAATGTACAGAACCAAGCAAAGTGGCATTGTACCTTGTTATCACAATTGTGTTTACTATTGTGATGGTTGTTTGCATTGAGAGCCCTCCCTTTCTTTTCACGGGGGAGGAAGGATATTTTTTGTTATCAATGAACGATCATTTTATTAGAAGCAGATCACAGGCAGCAGCAGATTCAAGTCGGGTTGGGTTTCATTAATTCAATGCTGTATATTATTCTGTACATTAATCCCTTCATCTTTATCCTGCCACTGTGTGTGACTTGTATATATCTCCAGACATAGAGTATGTCACCAGCATACCAAGGATCTTTGTCCAAAACACCAATATTTCAGGACCACGAAGGGCCCCTTCATCAGGCATAATATAACTCCTTCACCTTGTCCTCCCTCTGTGTATTACCTGTACATTGATGACACGCTGTTACCAGTGCCTCATTACTAAGCTCCACGCTTTAAAGGTTCCAACCAAAACTAATATTTGGGTTTTGCATGAAAGCTTGCAGAAAAAATAAATATACTTACTGCTCTGACCTATCTATGCAGCCTTCTGACTCTAAACAGATCATCAGAACAGTCAGTATATTTACGTTTTCTGTTTTGCAACGTTGTTTCTATCTGCCAAAGACAATCATTAGCTCCAGTCCATGAGATTATTATTTACAGCAATTGTGTGGCTAATGTATCTAGCCCATTCACACCAGGGTGGCTGCAGATCAACACGGTTTCCACGCTGATTTCAAAGAGAGGTTGTGGGAGTTTTTAATTGTGTTTCAGCGCTGAAACGCAATTAAAACCGCGCTCCATTGAAAGCTGTATGGAAAACGCACAATATCAGCGCGGCAAAAAAGGGTCAGGGAGCAGTTCGGATCGCGGTCGCATGACCAGTCCCCATAGCAATGTATGGGATCAGTCATGTCGGCGGATCCGCGTGGCCGGAGCCTAAAATAGGCGTTATCGGAATTGATAGGCTAATTCATAATATGCTAGTGCTCATTTCATCTGCAAGTGCCAGATTATGTTATTCATATTCTTAAAAACATTCAATCAGAAGAGAAAATACACTACGAACATTCAATTTGGCCCCATTCTCACAACAGCTGGTTAACGTGCACAGACTAAGGCTGGGCACACACCTTACAACCATCGCAAGACTTTTGTCTTGCGATGGTTGTATGGTAATTAAAAAAACGTATGATCTGCCCATCTTGGACAGGCAGATCGTACTTGCGATGATCGCAAGCCCGCGGCGCTGAGGGGTGGGCTTCCGATGACCGAAATGCCGAACCGGCAGTGTGCGCTTGCGCACACCGGCCTGTCCGGCTTTTATCTTCCGAACATGCTACACACCCAACAAAAATCGTACGATTCTCGGCGGGTTTTCGAACATGTTCCTAAGATAAAAGTCGTGCGACCTTACAGTAGCAGAGGTCGCACGGCTCCCACACACCTTACGATAATAGTACGATCGCGGGATTTCCCGCAATTATCGTACGTTTATCGCAAGGTGTGTGGGCACCTTGAATGTAGATGCAGTTTCACCTAGTGAAAAGCTACACAAATTTTTCTTTAAATGGACCCCCCCCATGTGTTTGGTCGAATAGGCAATCCATTTGTCAAAACTCCAAATATATTTGGAGTCCTTTTAGCTTTTCACACAGTAGGCTGAAACAAACTTCTAGCAATTCCCTCTCTGGTGAATCAATTTAATAGAAAGAGTTACAGTGATATTAAAGACAAACGGGTTTTAAGCTATTTCAAATGCTGCCTAAATCACTTACAATGAATGCTGCAGATATCTGGCACAACACATTTTTTTGCATGTAGTGAACACGTGTAGCAAAACATTTTTGGTGGCTTATGTAACAAAGTAAAAGGTAGAAAACAGAACAAGTTGATTGTCAGGGTTTACATACACTTTATTCCATCTCCACAGTGTCATTTTATTTAAGGGTCACCCCCTCTACAATTTTCCTGTTCAGTGTGGCTGAATCTATATCAAGCCTGGAACATGTCTACGTCACTTCCTTTGAGTTTTGATGGTAGATCTGTCCTCTAATTATAATGGGTAAGATGGTCACTACTTGAGAACCTCTGCGGCCAGGGTAGAATTCTTCTCAGACTTGTCGTATGAATGGATGACCGCTTTACAAGGTCACCGACTGTCCTTCCCAAGCAGTCTGGTTGTGTTGGATCAGATGTGGTTTTCTATGGCTGCTGTATTGTGACACCCAAAAACTATTCATAGTTCTTTTTTTTCCTGAATATACCTTTTACTGTCATCTTCAATAGAGTTATAGCTTATACAGGTATGTATTACAGCTGTCCAATGCATCAGACCCTAGGGCAGTCAGATCTACCCACAGCAATATAAACTGAGCATAAACAGGAATATTGACCTCAGCATAGATAGAAGCCAGTCAATAGGTCTAGCTTCTTCTACAGATAGGATCCTTAAAGCAGAACTTCGGGTAAATATTTTATTAACCCTTGCAGTGGGGCTACCCCTGAACTTCAAGGATTAAGCGCTTGTTTTTGCCTAGCTAAAAATAAAAGTTATAAACACCTGTACATCCGAGCTGGTCGGCTCTTGGACCGGTCCCAGAGCCTCTCCACCCTCTTTGCTGCAGTTGTGTAAGGTCCTGTAAATCATCACGTTCTATACACTGTGTATTGGACAGGAGGATGCCGAGGGACATGCTATCATTGCAGTGGAGGAGGAGACAGGCTGGAGGGAGCACTGTCACATCCGGCTAGCTCAGGGGAATCGGGTGAGCATAACTTTGTTATTTTTTACCCTAAGCAAAAACGAGCACTTAGCCCATCCTGTAAGGGTTACTAACATTTTAAACGGAGTTCTTTAAAGCTGAAAATCCAAAATGTTGCAAAAAGATGCTCTGCACAGAAATGTCTTGTGAGAATTCTGATCCTCATCTTTTCCAGGATCTCTGGAAGGTCTGGTGATGTCACCCCCGTGTGTGTTTTCAGTTTTTTTTAAATTATTAACTCTACTTTTCTACATATGGGTGGTTAGGCATCTAAAAGATCAGCAGACCTTGTATTTTCTGCAAGATGCACTTTCAGTTAGTTACAAGCTGTAGCTTTAGTGAAGACCTGCAGCCATTTGTTTAAGCTCCTAATCAGATTTTCATGATTTTAACCAGGTAAAAGAGATCCAGGAAGATTTAGAAAAGTTAAGCCCGCACAAAATAAAGCACACAAAGAAGGTAATGAATCTGTGAATTGACTTGTTTGTGATGCTACCCAGACGATATGGTAAAAAATGTTTCCATATATTTATTTAGTTGTTTATTGTTTAAAGTGATATTAAACCTCAACTTTTATTTTTTATTTTTGTATAATTAAGTGTCCCAGAGGTACTTTTAACTCCCCTTTTTTTCCCCCTCGGTTTGGAGTCATTCCCGATACTGCCCCCACCCCCACCCCACCTTGTGCGGATGTCTCCATCAGCTTGCCGGCTGCTGAGGAGTCACCTGTGCATGCTCGCTCATGGCTGTGCCCGCACCTAGTTGTGTGCATCCATAGAGACACACAGCGTGTGGCAAAACATGCCCCCCCACGTTCACAGTCACAGTTTGACTCATGGCAGAAGGAGACTATGGCTCCTCTACCTTCAGGACCCTCCCCCAGGACCAGAAAGTTTAGGGAATGCTAAGTATCTTCCTTGTCCTGGCGGAGGAGCTGAGCTGCCACGGGCAGTGTGGTGGTGGGGGTGTAGTTAAATAGAAAGATACTGGATATTTTAAGGTAACAATAACACCCAGCCTTTAGTATTAATTCAAGTAGCACTTGGATGATTCTTAGAATAATTCATTCTTCATAATAAAGCTTAGAGTCTAATGTATCTTCCATATTTTTTATACATACACTAGAGCCCATTTAATGTGAAAGTCCATTATTCTGTTAAATGATTGTGGATATACAGCACCCCCAGGAAACACATTGTAAAAATATAAAGCATATATGGCCTGCAGATCCCTGGTGGGTATTTTAGAACCTCAACACTATAAAGGTGGCCATACACTTTACAACCATCGCAAGACCTTAGTCTTGAGATGGTTGTAAAGTAATTAAAAAAACGTACAATCTGCCCATCTTGGACAGGCAGATCATACTTGCGAT